TCATTAAAACAAACAAACAAACAATTACAAGACTAGATGATTAAAGGTTCTATCAGAGCAATAAAAAACCCAGATAAAGCCTTCTCATTCACCATTATCAATTTCAGATTTCTTAAAATTTCTTCTCAGGTAGTATACAAAAAGATAAAATTAGTAAGTTACATACTGTATATAAAATTGTGTTACTTGTTTATGAAATAAAGCAAACTATTTTGTCTTCATTGAGGTTTTTTAAATCATGCATTTTTAATGACTTGCTTTGTTATCTAATATTTTCAGCTGATATGCCCTTACCTAATTTTAAAGGCAACCAACTTTCTTTCTTCTCGCCTTGTCCCCCTAGTCTCTTCCCACTTCCCTTCACTCCCTCTCATTCCCTTAATCCAGTACATATTTCTCAAGTATCTCCTGTATGAGCACTGTGCTAAGGGCCATGTTATCACAATATGGACATCTTAGGAAGAGCGAAATATGGTATCAGTAGTTTTGCCATGGGAGTCCATGCTGTGACTGCACTGTCATTTCTGTCAACTAGAGTAAGCCAATTAGTTAAGTTATTCTTTTTAAATTGCTAAACTAGTTGTGCATTACCTGTTAATGACTATTACTTTCTTTCAAAAGTGTATTTGAAATGATATTACCAAAACAAAGCTGATGCCATATACGAAAATTCAATGAATTTTATTAAGTATGGAGTATTTGCCACGAACATAGCAAGATTCATACTCCTGTCACCTCTATTACTCATCTAGGTAATTATCTAGCTTATTTGTTATTTTACTTTTACAAAAGAGAGTACTGTTTTCAAGGATTACCTGATGTCACAAGGCTAATAAATAAGAAGTTAAATTCAAATTCAGCGTTTCTATTTTTTTTCCTTTCTACAGCACAGTGGGATGTAAGATTTATTACAATGATACTCTTTTTCAAAGACAACATGATGTAGTAATAGAAGTGTAGATTTTGGGTTTTGGAATCAAACTTGGATTTATATCTACTTGTGCCACTGATAAGCTCTCAGACTTCAAAAGAGTTAATGAATCTCATTGAATCTCAATAAGTTAATCTATAAACTGAAGATGATCATACTGACCTGCAGGGTTACCATGATAATGTATGTAAAGTAAGTGTAAACAATAGTTATTAAGTATTAACTGTGATTTAATCTTTATAAGACTTATCACCAGCTATTTAATTTGACTTCTCAATTTCACTAAAACTGCCTTCCTTACAGTGTCGGTTTAAATGCCATGGACAGAATCAACTCTAAACCCCTGGACACTATTCTTATTTGTAATACTTAATACCTATTTTTGCATATGCAAAACCTGCCACCTCCCGCATGTTAAAATCTCACCTTGTCCACAGGGCCTAAAAATTTTAAATATCTTTGTTCTCCTTTGCCTCTATCCCCAATTCTAAAGTTACATAAGTATTTGTTTTAGTGATTATTTTACTGTATTATTCCTTAGGTATTTTCATTGTGTATGTTTTATTTTATTTTATTGTCTAATTCACTGTGGACAAGACAATTTCTTTCTAAATATTTTCTTTACAAGTCCCTTATCATTAGTGTAGAGTTCGGCACCTAGAAAGATACTACTTATTTAGTAAATTATCAGCAAAGTTTTTTTGTGTGTGTTATTTTTATGTTATTGATCAGCTTGAGAAATTTTTTGGTGAGGTTTTCCTGATTTAAAAATATCCGCACTCAGAAAAAATCACACGCAGTTTAATATAATAATGTTTATTTAAACTCTTTATGTGAAAGTAATAGTAAAATAATCCAAACAGTTTGAAAAATAATGACTATTTGGAAAAGATATTTTTCACACAATTTGGATCAATCTTTATCCAATGAGTCTGAAAGCTAATGTGGAGACAGTATGAGAGATCTTCAATAAATTTATAGAAAACGCTTATTATAAAAAAACTGCATAGTTTTCAAAACTTTTTGCAATAAAGTAAATGCATATTTAATTCCATTTTTGTCAACAACTTTTTGAGATCCCCTCATACAATATGTTCTGTATAATTTTAGACCCATGGTTTTTGCGTTAGGAGAACTTAACTCCTGCCTATTCCAACTGCCAAGCTATCGCAGCATCTCTGCTTGCATTGAGCAACAGCATGAAAACAACAACAGAATAAAGCCTGACTGTGTTGGGCTGCCCCTACAATCTAGTGGTTAAAGAAGTCAGATTTCACGTGGCCGACGGTGGTAGGGATCCCAATCACAGCTTGAAAAATACATCTGGACCTTGTGTGGAGTGCCCCAAATCCAGACAGGATAGAGAAATAGAGGGGAAGAGATGGTGCCAATGCCTTCATTGGGAGAGTGTTTTGTTTTTGTTTTTCCTTTTTCTCAGTTTCTGACAAGTGGATGTAACCTCTTGTCAATTAAAACAAAACAAAAAATCTGTGCTGCTCTCAAAAGACGTTGGACCAGGCTGTAGTGAAGAAGATACTCAGCTGTGTTGAGATATTAATGACAGGGCTAAGTAAGAAAACAGGGAATACTACGTTTAGAAAATTGGACTTCCAGTAGAAGCTGTATTTATCCAAGTTCTTCTAAGGAGGAAGGAGGAACGTAAAGACATTCTCTTTTAAATATATATACACACATATCTATGTGTCTTACAGTGTTTTATTGTGATCCACAAAACATATGAATATTCAGACAGAGTTGAATTGGTCTGTCTCAAGAATTTTTTTTTTTTTAAATTTGCTATAGGGGTATGTACTCACCAACGAGACACAGAGAGAGAAAAGACAGAAAGTGAGAAAGCACCCTCAATCAGGGATGGCCATACCATAATCCCTTCTGCTCCATTCTCCTCTTGAAATTTTGGGTATTCACGTACAAATGTGTGATATATTTTTCAGGCTGCAGGGTCCAGACTTGAAGTGCACTGTCAGCTGTGTGGGATCCAGCTCCCTTAACCACCACACTACCAATTTGCCCAAGGGGAAAAAAAAAAAAGAGCTGAACAAATAATGAAATAGCAGTTATAAGGAAACCATATAAACTAAAGTGAACAATTTGTTTTTTCAACAATAGTTTTAGAAGCATATTTAAAAAGCCTGTTGTGAAGATAATTGTCATTATGCTGGTATCTGAATGGTCTTTATAAAAAGTGTCATGCTTGTTATACTTTTAGTTATTATGACTACTTAAGTGTTTGTTATCTTAAATAATATTTGTGCTCATTTTTTAAAAAATTAAAGTGGGTTTTTATTAAATATTTTGTTAATTAAAAGTGTCAGGCTCATCCTATGGATTAAAGTGTTTATTTCTTTCATGTTCTATGACTTTATTTTTATGATCTGAAATGCTTTTATATACATGAATAATTTGTATAATATATATTTTAAGAGATTCTGCAATTAAAAAATTGCTCAGCCATATTGTAAGCTCCTTGTGGGCAGGACCCATGTTTTATAATTTCTTGTGTCTGCAGAACCTAGCACGGTCAGTGCTGAGCACATAGAAATTGTTCAATAAAAACTTGATGAATAGTCTAAGTGACCAGACTGCAATATATGTGAGTGATGCTTATGCAACTAGATGGTGTCACACTTCGGGTAAGGGTGGCCTTTAGTTAACAGTAATTACTTACTTTCCCTCTCTGATATTATGCTGTTTTTATCAGTCCTTAAATTTAAACTGTACATAGAAGTCTTGTTTTTAGTCTTCTTAAAAAGACAATTGTAACTATTTTTTCCATATGGAATGATTGCTGTTAGAAGAAGGAGAGAAAAAGAGGGACAAAGAAGTATAGACCTGAATATAAAACAACTTGATTTTTTGACACCTATGTAATTTCTTATTTTGGTATGTGTGCTGAATTTTAACTCTCCACCTACAGTCAAATGAAGGTATTGCAGAAGATACATAGCCTATGTAGTAGTGAACATAATTTATCTATACAAGAGCAGTAGAACTTATGCATTTTATTATTCCTTTGAGCAAGGTATAGTATTCCATTTTTAGAACTAGTACACCAGAATCTTAGCAAATGAATTACAGTCATTAGTCATTTCTTAATAAAAGTTGGTGAATGCAGATTATGGTTTTTATCTGCTTATTGATTTAATTTATAAATCAAATGCTAAGTCCCTTTAAGTGCACTGAGATTACCAAAAAAAATGCAGCATTACATTAGAAAATGATAAGAAATACATTTATAAGTACACATCAAAAACATAAAAACTTAAGTAATAAGCACTGAAATATCATGGCCCAAAAGGAGCAGAAGAAAATACAAGTTAAAAAATATAATACTATTAAGAACAAAAGATAAAACAAACAAAAACAGCTAGTAAGAATGCAAGTGTGAACCAGAGAGGAATGTGAATTTGTTACAAGCCAGGACAAAGTGTAGTGTAGTAATAGATTCTCCATAAACACTTGCTGATTGTGGAGAAGGAAAGGTCCTGTGGCTGCTAGTAAAGAAGAAGTGGATACTCAAGCAAAAGTAGGCAAATGTCACAAGAAGAAAATACAGAGTGAATGGATAATATAGTCTCTGGAAGACTTTGATAAAAATAAATGAAAAGATAAAGTTAATCTCTTGTCTATGTATCTAACCACCATTTAAATTTTGTTAGTTCTACAAGTATTTCTCAAATCTGCCCCTTCATCTTCACTGCCATAGTCTTAATCTAGAGCTCCATCATCTCCCATTCAAACTGTCTTTAAAGCAGGTGTCCCACTTCTGATCTTAGGCCATTAGGTCATCTTCCATACTTAGTGCCAGAATGATATTTGTTAGTAAAATGGATATATGTTCATTATTTCCCTTCTTACCAATTTTAATATTTTCCTCAACCTTCGGATAAAGTTAGGATAACAATTGAGTTACTACAGAGCTTTCTACAATCTGATCTCTGCCAAAGTTCTCATCCTCTCTTCCACATCTATCCTGTTTCTCAGCAATGCCAAACTGCTGACTCATGTCTC